ATATATATATATATATATATATATATATATATATATACAAATATACAAATATGTATACATTGTGTATATATATATGTATATATGTCACAAAGTCACACACGCACATACACACATACAAACACACCCTCACCTACAGACATACACACACACACACACACGCGCGCGCGCGCGCGCGCCTCACCCTTCTTTGTTTTTAATTCTTTCCCCTGCCCATTACTCTTACGAAAAGCAGAATCATCACAATGGTTATAAAACGAAAGTACCTTGTGTCGTATTGTGTGGAAAGAAATACCTACCTTGCGGCGATACTTGTTTGTGCGGAAAAGGGGGTGGGGGCGGAGCTTCGTTATATGGTGGTCCCTGATAGGCTGGAAAATTCAGATGTAAATTGTAATGAGGAAAGGGAAATCACAATACTTCAAAGCTCAAAGCTGTTTCCCCATTAGCATATTAGAGCAATTGCTGCAGATCACACAAGGACCTTAAAACAAATAATTTATATAATGTTCTTGAAATTGCAGCGAAATTGTATGTGGTTGGCAGGCTCTCTGGTGTGGTTTGTTCTTACTTTCTCATCAAACATTTATTGTCGTGTTCTCTCTTCCTTGTTTTCGTTCTTCTGTAGTAGCATCTCTAATCTTCAGCACTTTTATTAGCTATTTCGTAATGCAAAAGCCGTAATGGGGCTCTCGTGGTCTAGAGGTTAAGGTGTTGGCCTCTCATTCAAAGGTCCCGGGTTAAATTCCGGGTAGCGATCGAAAATTTTTCTTCTCTAAATTTGTCTCCTTTCACCTCATTTCCTGCTCTCTAGCAATGTTCTGTCGCCTGCTTTCGTCTACTCTTTCTGACCCCACCCCCTCACCTCCTTTGCCCCTTCCTCTGGGTTTCTGATTTTTTCTGCAGCCTTTCTACTGCTATTCCTTCGCGTCTTCTTACTGCTGTCTTTCAGCCACACCCCTGATCTTCTGGTAGGAGAGATCTACACCTAGCCTTCTCTGACAAGGGTGAAAAATCTCGGAGGGCCCGTGTGCAAGTTGCGCACGTTAAAGATCCCTTGGTGGTCTAAAATCGATAAGAGTAGGCTTCGGCCGCCACCCGGGCAAAATTCAAAATTTCCTACCAACTGAAAATATTAGGTGTGTCCCGCACGCTCATATGACCTTATGCAGTTGCGAGCGCCGTAAAACACTTTACAAAAACACAAAACAAAAGCCGTAAAACGTTCCTGAAACTAACAAAAGACAACAATAATAATACCGAAATAGTATCGGCATCTGTCGTGTAATGGTTAGGTTCTTCTTTACTGCTGCACACAGAAGGGAGTTTGGCTCCTGAGTAGGAAAGTTCTTATTGTGAATTCTTTGTTTGCAGGGATGCTGTATCCTACTCCACCTGGGTTGGCTCTTGTGGGTTGGGTAGAAGCAACCCACCTCCTAAACTAACTGAATTATGTATACGAGGCATAAACAATGGCAAAGGCTTCTGCATAAAAATTGTGATACCCCAGCACATGTCTAGAGATAACAGAAAAATATAAATTTTATTGTTGTTGGTGGTTTTGTTTGGGTTGGGCGGGGGGGGGATTGGGGGGAGTGAAATGGGATTGGGGTATTGATGTTTGAGTGTGTGTGTGTGTGTGTGTGTGTGTGTGTGTGTGTGTGTGTGTGTGTGTGTGTGTGTGTGTGTGTGTGTGTGTGTACAACGGTTCACCTGATGCGTGTATGTATGGCAATGTGTTCGGGTGTGCTTGTAAATAGATGTGTTTGATTTTTTTAAATGTCAGGCCAACCGAAACACAAGTCCATTTGTGCATTCCGAGTGACATGTGTACGGATTGCATCAGACACTGGAGTAAAATAATCCGTACAAAAGACAAAGAATACCCTGCCGCCAACACTCACACAAACTATCGCAATGCTGCAAAGGTAAAAAGCGTTACATTGTGAAGACAGAAAGATGATTTAAGTCCGGGATTTGAAGGCAGGACGTGGGAGTTTAAAAACACCTCTCTCTCTCTCTCTCTCTCTCTCTCTCTCTCTCTCTCTCTCTCTCTCTCTCTCTCTCTCTCTCTCTCTCTCTCTCTCTCTCTCTCTCTCTCTCTCTCTCTCTCTGTCTCT